GATAGCAACTAGTCTAAGTGAAGGACAGTACTGAATTTCAAACCATAGAGAAAGCAACAGGAAAATACTTTCCAAATAAGTTATGGTAAAAACTGGTACCCCTGATGTTCGCCTTAAGGTCCTCAACAAAATCCAGAGACGGATATGCAATGTGATTGGTCCTGATCTGGCATCTCGTCTACAGTTGCTCTCTCACAAATATGCCGTTGCCTCCCTCTGTCTTTTCTACAAATACTTTCACGGTAACTGCTCCAACAAGTTCCTTTCGCTTGTTCCCAGACTGCATGAATTTAAGCGTGCTACTAGGCTAGCATCAGGGCCCCACCCTTTCACTGTCAAAACAGTTAAATATAGCCGTCTCTTCTACTCCAATAACTTCATGTCTCGCACATCCCATCTGTGGAATTCCCTTCCTCTTACTTGTTTCCCTGGTAGCTATAATCTCCAACTATTCAAATGTAATGTCAATCAACATCTCCAGATGCCCTGACCTATTCCCTGTCCTTCTCTTCATTCTTTCCTCCATCACACTTCTTTAGTCTCACTCCCACTCTGTAACCCCTTGCATCCCGCCTTGCTTGGGGTGAAATGCTTTTAAAAAAAAAAAAGGAAAAAAGAGACATACAAGAAAAGTGTATATGTGTGTATGCAGGTAAAGAGATTATCAGAATCGAGTTCTCTGGGCATTGGCGTGTTTATCTAAAAATAAATACATCTAAATTCACCTTCATCCCTGTTGTGTGCCAATGGCTTAGGGGTAAAATCTCTAACTGATACCAAATCAGTCGAACTTCAATCCCAGCTTGAGGTAATTGGATATCTAGTCACACTGATAAGCTGTGAAACAGCAAAACAGTCTGTCTGTGGATGACAATATATATATATATATATATATATATATATATATATACACACACACACACACACACACACACACACACAGAAATAAGAGAAAAGACAGATGCAGTAAAAATCCACACATCCGTAGCATTTACTTTTTAAAAATAGTGATCAATACTACTTCAACATATGGCAACATCATACTTGGCTACATCCATAATGCATCTGTCACTGCCATGTTTGCTACAATCATTGGATGACATATCTAAGTGCCAGTTTATCATGACATGAAAAAATAACTCACCTACTTCCACCCTCTGACCTTATTTTTCTATTTTAGCATAAATCTGACTTTTGATTGTTTAATCAAGACATACCCACTAGTATATGTTTAATTCTAACCTTATGCTCCCACCTTTTTACTTTCAGGAAAGAGGTGTAAGATTTTTTAATTTCCCTAATAAATCAGTTTTATCATAACTTACCAACCATCACCTGAGGAAGTATAATCATAGTATTGAAACATGAAAGCTTTTGTGTAGTAATGTAAAATGTCTTTATTATAATCTCTTATAACAAAAGAATTACAATATATATATATATATATATATATATATATATATATGAGGCAAGTTTTGCTGAATAATTTAGACAAGTTTTGTCTGCGTATTTTCAACAGGATCCCTTCATATTCTCAGAAGAATTTTCTGATGTCAGTATTAAAAGAAGAGAGAAAATTACCGTGTTGATGCATATTGTTTTATTCTGAGTACTTTCGAGATTAACACAATGTCATTCCCAGGGTGTGTTTTTAAGATAAAAATGAAATGTTCATTATTTCCAAAGACAAAATTGCTATGTTCATCTGAAAGTTATAATTTTACATGTGGAGTGAGAACCACTCTCTCTCTCTCTCTCTCTCTCTCTCTCTCTCTATATATATATATATATATATATATATATATATATATATATATATTATGAAATGGATTGAATCAAACAATTATTTAATATATTTTCTGTTTATAAATATATAAACAGAGTGTAATAGATAAATTGTTGACATTTTATTTTTTTTTTTATTTCCCGCATACACATTGTTTATTTTTGATTTTGTCAACTGCACAGTATAGTAGGGTCTTTGAGAGAAAAAAGAACACCATGATTTAATTCCCTCCACCTGAAATTTGGAAATGGCATGCTTTACTACTTAGTATTCCCACTGGAAGCTCTAATACGAACATTTCAGAGTGTTTGGGTGTCAGTGGAAAGGATTCAGAAAGAGTTGGATGAGTCTAATAGTGATTACGAAGGTACGGCAGGTTGGAAAATTCACTCTGATCATTGTGATAAGAAAAGAACTCCCAAATTTGTTGGTGAGGGCCTCAGACTCAACACAGAGGCCTACATTAAGTGCCTTGAGGAGGTAGTGCTGCTCTGGGTCAAGAGGGTGGCTGCTGGAAAACCCATGTCTTGCAATAGGACTCTGTACCATGCCACATAAGCAGGAGAACCCAGTCATGACTGTCAGACAATTTCTGCAACCACATCATCCCTTATATATGACCACCTAACTCCCCAGACTGCAACCCCCTTGGTTATTATTTATGAGGTGTAGTTGAGTGAGAGACCAACAAAACTCCTTGTAATACCAAAGATGACCTGAAGACAAGGATTATGACAGCATTTAAACATGGAGACCGTCCAGAAGAGAGGCAAGAGATTTCAAAGTCATTTAGAGGCCCTGGTTGAAGCCATAGCCATTTTATTGAATAGATTTACTCTTTAGTATTTGAAAATATTTTTGTGTAATTTTTATAAATATATCTGTTAAAATGTATTATCAGTATTATTTTCATTTTTGCATAATTTAGACCACAATTTGTTCATCATATCCTGTACATATATATAACAGTTCTTATGTTGTTTTTTAACTATTAAATTACAGCAAATACCTTAAGACTTCCTCTAACAACTCTACCTAACTAATGCTAAACTCCTAATCTTATAAAAAATATGAAAGAGAGAGGGGTCAACAAATAATTAAAAAAAAAGTGACAATAAATAAGTGACCATGCAATAAAAGCACAATCCAGACACCATGCTAAGATATGTTAGTTTAATTTCTGATCTTACCATGTTTCTGCAGGTCAAAACCATGCTTTCTGGCCTCCTCTTTCAGGAGAAGGTTAAACCAAGGTAGGGCATCAGTACCTACACGTGCAAGGGACAAAACATACATGCACTACAGAGAGGGCATGCAATAGTTCCAATGTTGGCAGAATTAGTAATAACTGTAGTAGGGGTACTGCTCTGAATGGCTAGTACCAAACTACTAAACCTCCATTGTGTTACTTGCACAATAGAAGACAAGTTTAGTATGACAGTGACTTTTCATTCTTTTTTAGTCATACATAGATTCACACAAAACACTTTAAGACACAAATATAAATTAAATAAGACAAATAAATGGCTTAATTAATTTTTTGATTAACAAATTTTATAATCATGATATAAGGAAAAATTCTTTTTATATTTGTTAATATAGACTTTAAGAAAATATTTCATGTAAAATCAATTTACAAACAGAAAAAATTGTTATAGAAACAAATATTATATTGTAATGAGTGGTAAATTTAAAAATTTAAAACAAAATCAAATTCAGCTGAAAGAAAAAAAAATGGTGCTTTTTTTCCCTTTTATGATTGGCTAGGTTAACCTATTGTTATTTCATGTTTTGTAGAGCATATTGTAAAACTAAATTCAAAGATATTTTGAAAAAGTTTTTTTTTTGTTTTTGATTCCTGAATTTGAATCATTGCCTGTCCCATAACAGTTTCATTTCTATATACATTTCATACACTCAATGTAACATCTATTATGGGACACGGGTGGTAGTACATTTTTTAATAAGCACAAAATGCTAGTAGGCTCTTAATAACTTCAAAAGATCAACACTGACAAAAGTCAGCTTCTATTAAAGACTTTGTTGTTTATACAAGAGTTGGTTAAAAAATAATAGCTGTTCTTAATTAATTACAATGGTTTTAATTTAGAAGCAGACAAATCACATGATATTGCAGACAAAAATCTTGAGATTCCAAATACAGCCCTTAACAATCTTCTTTCACGTCTGTGGTAATCCACCTTTGAATAAGGTCATATATATCCAAATGTTTAGAAGATTCTCTGATACTTTCTTTGTGTGATTTACCTCTTTCAGTCTGCCTTTATCTGTATTCACAGCAGCAGATAACCTGCCACTGCAGGGTCTGTCACTAAAGTCGATTTCTCCTTTCTCTCGAGGATTACTTTTAACTCTGCTGACCTATTTCCTTTCTATGCTTACATCAAATGCAGCCTTTCCATAAATATTCATTAACCACCTGTGAAAGTTTTCAATACTTTCTCTTTCCAAAAAAGTAAATTCTCTTACATGTTTTTGTTTATTACATGTTTCCAGAGTGGTAGCCATTTTGAAAGAGAATTGTGGGTAGAAAAAGAGAAAGTAATTCCAAAATTTTTGCCTGGAATTCAAGAGACACTTTATGATTTATAGTTATTTAAAAAAAAAATTCTAATAGCTTTAACATTAAATTAGAAAAAGCATTACTTTTTGACCAACCCTTGTTAAAAAGAAAAAAAAAAGAAAAAAGACATTTTTATTAAACTCAAGTGTAAAAGCTCACCAAAGTAAGATTTTTTTTTCTTTTACTGTACATTTTAAGGATTTCAATCATTTTTTTTATTTTTTTTCAATTTGGAATAGCATTTAACATTTTTATAGGAAATTTTGAGATGAGTTGTTTTTCAAAGATTTGTTTTTGCTATTATCTTCCCTGTTTTGTGTTATTTTTTTTTCTATTCAACATTTAAAGTTACTTATTTACTCAGCCTTGATTAGTCTGGCACAAGGTTACATGTATTTGAGCATTAAAAGCTTGTTAACACATTCAGTGACAATGGATGTTAACATTTTTGGAAATTTAAGTGTTAAAAAATCTTTTTTTTAAGAAGTCGATATTGAAGGTATTGAATCATTAACTCAGGGTTTCTCAAACTTTTTACCCCTGTGCCACCCTTGAAATAACTTTCATGTTGCAGGAAACCACATAGAAATTATTATGTACTATTATTAATATCTATCTTTTATATGGTTTACAGCTACATCACATTGAAAACACTGGTTCTCATATGATCACTAAAGTTAAGCAACATCAAACCTGGTCAGTACTTAGATGGGTAGGCATTTGAGAATACCAGGTGCAGTAAGCTTGGATGTGCAGGTGGTGTAATGGATAATGGCTCAGAATTGTTAATTGGAGAGCTGGGTTCCAATTCCTGTTGGGTTCATTATATTCATTCATGCACAAATACTCTAGTGAAAGGTATGAATCTACCTCTTCTCCCCACAGATATGGGTTAATTAGTAAGATTTGTATCACTAAATCATTATTTTCAAAAACAAAACAAAAAAATTATTACAATCTAAAAATATTTCCTGGCTTTATAAAAACCTGCAAAGTGTTAATAAGTCATAGAAAATGAACCTATCTATCTTTTTTATATTTTTATCACAGTTCACATGGTAAACATAATATATGGACACCGTGCATGTGTTCTGTACTCGGGCAAGTTACTCAGTGATACACACATCTGGCACGTACAGGTCCTGTCCACTAACCAGTGAAGGCGGTTTCACACTGATGCCATATAGACATAGCTAAGTACATTCTCTAGGATTATTATAATTTTAAATAATATAATTGGTCGAAGCCTTTATTATAATAACCAAGGACTTTCCAACAATATGCCATATGTATATAGTAAAATTACAAATATAAAATTAAACAAAAATTACTCAAAAATTCATTAGCCTATTTATCACTGTTTCTTCCTGAACCCTTAGTGATCTAGGAGAAATACTGGATTCAGATTGATGATTAAAAATGGCTTCAAGTGAGTCAACCCTGTAGGTCTTATGGAGGATCATCCTTCTTCAAACCTTGTGGACTGACAAGACAGAATCAGAAAGAAAAGTACCAAATTTAGACAAAAAAAATCACTCAAAAATTCATTAGGCTATTTATCACTGTCTCTTAGCAACCTCTTGCAGAACCCTAGGGTTCCAGGGAGCACCAGTTGCAAAACGCAGTATTGACAACAGGAGAAATTTTTCTCATTTGCAGTAGTCATAGAATTGCAATGATGGAAATTACTGTCATCCAGAGTGAATGGTTATATGCATGAGCTATATAAAAAAAATATTTTTAATTCTTTTAACAATCTGTATGCAACTTACCATCTGGCTTAACTAATCTAACATTTCCTTCCAAAGCCCAAGGTCAGTGTTCAAATTGAACAAAAGTCAAAACCCTAAATGCTAATGCCCAAAGAACACAATGTTGGACAAATATATAACATATTTTATGACATATTTGTATATTCTAGTGCTATATATAAAACATTTTCAGACAATTTCTTTTTGGAATTAATTTCTTTGAGTTATTCTAGTCTTTCCTTCCAACTGATCTTGAACATTATGGTATATGATATGATACCAAAGTAAGTTTTGTACTCTGTGTTATCTCAGAAAGCCTTGAGGGTTGGCCTCAAAGCCACCAAGTGCAGAATTGGGCCTGAAAGAATGTCTGTGCATGCACTAATATAAACAGGAAGTGAACCCAGCTTAATGTGGGAAATACATATGTAGGACAACTGGATTATAGAAAGTTAAATAAATGCCCGATCCACAAGGTGTAGGGAAGAATCACTTGGACCCTTGCAAGTTTTCAAACATTTGAAAACAAGACCCAAAACATAATACTCCTTGATCAGCTGACACAGAAGTGAATAAATATTATTTTACATACAAAAAATTTAGTCTTGTACCCTTAGACATTACTAACATAATATTACCCTACCATAATATAACAAAGTCAGCAGTGACTAAATTCTGAGAGAGCTAGTCCATTGACTAGTATAAAAATTTGAGATTTTTTTTTAGTGCCTATTGTTCTAGTGGAACATATTTTAAGACATGTTTTTTGATATCAGACATTAATTTTGATTATTTTATCAATAATGTACACAGAAAAGACTAACATACCATATGTTCTTACTGTTGAATTATGAATGTTACCAGGATTGAACTTGGGAACTCAAGTTAACAAAAGTATGTGTAATACTCTTATAATAAGCTGGCTTACCTATTAATTAAAATGAACCCTTCCAGATTATTAAAAACCAAAAAGTAAAACAAGCTCCTGATATTTATTTGGCTGTGGTGGTGGATAAGATTTGAGTATACTTGGTGAGTCAATATACTTACCTGGCGTTATGCTGGGGGTTTTGACAAATATTGGATCGTTTCTTGGCCTATGGCTGAGATTCGATCAAGGCTTCGACTAGCTTGGACTGGCTCCGGCCTGGACTTGCTAGGACAAGTCATGACCAACTTTGACTAAGCTCTGACCAGTTTGGACAAGCTATGACCAGTTTTGGACCGGTGGCCTTTGAGTGGAAACACTCGGGTCTCCCACGTCAAAACAACCTTGTGTCACATCTTGACTTTGTGGGAGTCAAGTAAATACCATACTTGGTGAGTCAATGCTAGGAAACCTTACCATTTAGTAGCAGTGCAATCTACAGATCTCAAGGTTATGACACCATCATGTTTCCACTGTATTGATGGGTATCTAAAAAATGTGGTAAGCCATGTTTGTCCACACAATTCTGGTATTGAATTCCTTGTTTAACTTTTGGAACACATTTTAAGACATATTTTGATACTAGTTGAGCATTAATTGTATTTTAACACAATATTTAATCATGTATTGTATTTTCAATGTATATTTTCAATAAGATAATTGAATTTAATTCTTGCCTGGTGTTAAAAAAACACCTTAAAATATATTCCACAAACAGAACAATGGATACTAAGAGTTTAAATAGAATTAGTTTAAAATTTTTTTTATAGATAAGTGTCTCTTGTAGGAAAGCTAATGGTAGGACAACTTATTAATATATCCATTAGTTGTGACATAAATTGTAATAGTCAATGCAGTAGAAAAGTGAAAACTAAAACAATTGATAGACTTTATTGGTGAGTATGAAGAATACACTGATATTTTGTGAAAGAAAAGAAAATTATTACTATCAGTACTGGTTTATATTTTCTCTTTTTCCTTTTTCTTTTGTGCTAAATTCGACACAGTTTAAATTGTGAATAGCAATCACAAAAGCAGTTTAGTCTGAGGTGCTGTTGGGGGCAGACAGTTTCAGTCTGCTTTCAACATTGCTTTTCAATAAATGCAATTATTCTCTTTTATACAGACTTCCTAAAACTATTGATCTAGCTTTTTCTTTTTTTTTTTTTTAAAACAAAAAAAAAAAAATGCCATCCTGAATTTCTCTTGGAAGCTTCTTTGATAGACAGTGAGAAGAGATACAAATCTATACCATAATGCTTTAACCAATGACAAACAGAGACAGTAAGGACTTTTCTGGAGCAAGGTTATAATGCCACTAAGACACAAGATATTACTGAGAGTGAAAGAGAATGAGAAGACTTTAGTAAGGAGAAAGAACAATAAAAGAACAGGATTCAGAAAGACAGAAGACAGTGATTGGGATTGCATGCAAATTATTGAAGAATGAAGGAGGGAAGAAAGCAACAGACCTGAAGAGAGTCCCACAGGCGAGAAGTGTGAGAAGAGAAACTACCAGAATAGAACTTATGGTTACATCTAGCTATTTCAACAGTAAAATGATGAGAATTAGTACCGACCATGGTGAAACACATTTTAACTGAATGTACTCACTTAGACAATAATTTTCTTGTGTTGTTTTCCTTGAAGTATTTATGTCTAAGACATAAATACTACAAGGAAAACAACATGAGAAAACTATTTGAAAATATTGAATCTGTCAACATGTCTTACCTTACAGAAATAGGTTTATACTAAAGCATGTAACACCTACAATGGATAATCTACAAACTATGTATCTATAAAACATACATTTACTCTGAAAGTATAAAATAATGTATAAAATATCTGTAGTTGAAGGCATAACATTGGATACATTAAATAACCCATAGAGGTGTTAATATGCCACTAAACTAAAACAACCAAACCAACCTAGTAGCCACTCTAGTAGTACACTTAAATACATGTGTTCAGAATACCAAGGAGGAAAGCTGATTAGAACAATTTCCACTTGACAAATGGTCTTAAAAGGGAGGAAAGAAAGTCCTCAGAAGCCCAATATGATTGTCTTTTCTATTTTGATTGGACTACCAGAGGGAAGCTACATTAAGGTGGCGGGAAATTAATTTATTGTACTGGGTTGGAACAAACGTTTGTCGCATTTAAACATGTGATTTTTTTCACATGTGAATGAAATTCATGACATATATATGTCTTCTGTAAGGTGATATTTCAATGGAGGGAAATGGGAGGCATCTTTATCATTTAAAGTTTTTATTCCTAGAATTGTAAAAAAAAAAAAAAACAATGTATAAACAGTAAAAAATATATGTGCCATTTATGAAGGTGGTGCCATAGCTGAAAGTGCTGTTCCAAAGTGGTTCACTAAATTAAGAAATGCAAATTTTGATCTGGAAGACTGCAAACATTCTGTCAGGCCTGCAGTCACTGATGATAACTAAATCAAAACATGTTAAAAATAATTCAGGTTACAGGGCATCAGAAATATACTCCACCTATCTCATATGAGCATTGTCAGGCATCTTAAAACACTTGTGGCCCTGTTGTTGCTTGCTTCACTGAATGCCACTCTTACTTTAGTCTATTTTCATTGGTCTGTTTCTCGTGAGCCAGTCCTGCACTTCTACATTGTGCTTCAGTATCCATAGAAATATCAATAAAGAACTATCAAAGATCACATCACTCATTAACAAGTTTAAAAATAACAACTTTTATAAATGATACTTTGATTGATTAAAATAAAATATAATTTATACATAAAAGAAATTTAAAGAAAGTTTCCTGTATAAGGAATTCTTGAGCTTGGAAAAGGAAGTTGACTGGTGGCTGCAGTTATAACTAAACAGCCCAGAGTGACCATAGGTGACTATTTTCATGAAGCAAAATGTTAATTTTGTCAATGCAAGTTGCAATTTGAATTTCTTAGTTGTATAGACATATCCTTCTATGGCAACATCTAAAACAATCTTGACTGAAATTGAGAGCCAGGCTACTGCAATTTCAGATATATAGAATTAATATATAAAACACTATATTTTGAGGG